TTTATTAGTTATTTTAATCTGTAAATATTTTTAATCTACAAGTATTATATGCGTAATTAAATTAGTACATGAAACTGAGATTCGAGGATAGGATAGGACTAAATAACCGTTGCTAACGCCTTATAGTCACTGGTTCAACTCTCAGCGCACACTGTCATTCTTCTTCTTATTCGCTTCTTTCATATTTGTAAATTTTTTTCTCCCTTTCTTACTAAATTCATATTTTGATAAATTGCCGATTATCTTTATAGTTAGGACTATAAGAAGGACGATAATCTATCAATTACAAGGCCGAAGTTCGGATACCCGGTAAAGCATCTATCAGCATTTTATTTTCAAATCGCGTTTTCTAAAAGACATTATAGACAGACTTAGTGATTAAATGGTGAGCAATGTCAGGAACACTCATGAAGTGTTAGTGATAACTGATAACTGTTATTTTCATTTATCATTATTTTCAATCATTATTGAAAATTCTTAGTTATCAATTAATGAAAAGTTGTACAAATAAAAAACAAACATAGATGCTTCTTTTTTAACGCCAATGTGCTGAAACTAAAAAAACAGATTTCCATAACATTATTCTCACTTTTTTTTTTTACCGTTACTCGATACTATTTTTTAAGTGAAGAATTTTTACGGGACCCCGCCCGTTTACAGGCAATGCATATCATAGTCTTTATAACAGGTAAATATAAATGAGATTACAAAGTTCGATATTCTTTCCCGGAAAAGGGATATTGGTCTATTTATCATGTCTATAAATTTTAACGGAAATTTTCCATCTTCGTTCGTGAATCGATCATTTTTAAATTGAAATACACAGTAACAAATAAATTCTTCTACTGCAGCTATTAAATGTCATTTCACAATTTTCTTGTTATTCGAAAAATATTCATAAGCATTTAATTATATAATACCATAAGGATAACAGAAATATTAATTAATTTACTAGGTAGAAAGTCCCAATTCTTGGAACCATTGTGACACTTCAGGGGAACCCCAGGTTCCACGGAACATTCTTTAGGAACGCTGGTAGCAGATAACATTTGTGAATACACAAGCACAGGACTGATTTACAGACCTGAGGCGAAAGATGCAAGACTTTTTGGTCTCGTATTTTCCATTTAAAAAAAAAAAATTTTTTTTTATATTACTTCATGAATTTTTTTGCTAAACATTTTCAAGTGAAGTTTTTAAACTTCATGCAAAAAATATAATAAAATATTTAAAATAAATTGATAATTGCGGCTTTATGGAGAAAGGGGTCCCAAGCACGTGCAACGAATGTCTCTTATAAAGCTGTCTTTGAATATCTAAAGTCGGGAAAATAAAGTTTTAGATTAGTAATATTGTGTTTTTGGAAAAATTTTAAATCCTCTCAACGGTCCGCGTCATTGAATGTAATAGAATTCATCTATTGCGTAATAAATATACTTCTTAACTTCTTTTTCACAATATTCTTGGAAAAATTATTTCTTGAAACTGAATGAAATTTGTGCATGATATTTTAATAAATCCGCTCTTGTTGCTAAAGTATTAAAAAATAAATAAATCATGGAGATAATGAAATAATTTTGTTATAAGTTATATTTTATGAAGAAACAAGAGTTGTATTACATTGTACAAAAATTTGGTGTATAGTTGTCACCAATTTTGATGTTGAGTTAAACTAAACTCTTTTACAGTTTATCACACTTTTCATTTGATTTTTTACTGTTATGGTTTTATTTACTTATTATTGCTTGTTTGTTTATTGACAAAACATATTTTTTTTCCATCCGCATTAATATTAATTCACGGCTCCATTTCAAAAAACATTTCGTTTAAAAAAAAAAAGCATATTTTTATTAATATGTTCGCACTGATTTTTCCAAAACAATTGTTGTTTCGTCCCTTTTATAATTTTTTTGCACTATAACTAAGCTCTGTACCTAAAAATTTAAATAGTTTACCTCACCACCAAAAGGGTGGTGAGGAAATAATGTAGTTTTTAACGATATCTTTCCATAGCGCGAAGAAATGTAGTTTGCCATGATTTGCTCCTCTCGGCCATTGTGGTTTGTTTTGTACTATTTTCTCGGCTTCTGTGGTTTCTCTAGTTTTGATTCTCACCTTTATTTCTCTTTGGAAACTTTACATTTTATATTTCAAATCAATTTTCCTTCTTGTCAACCACGTCTGGCAGGTCTTGAAAATGGGTGCCTGTTTTTGAGCTCTAGAAACAATTCGAACGTTATTTTCCATTCATGTATTTTTGAAGAGAATGAATTTTTTAACCAGGTAATATCTTACCGCTTCAGTTTCTTGTTATTATTTATTTAATATCTCGATTTTATAATATTTGGAGTGACGAAAATGCATACAATTATTTGTAGTCATTATGACACTTATTAGCATCCACTGCAGGAAACATGAGTCTCAATACATTTTAAACACAAATATCATGTAAAGAGGAATAATGGTTTTTGGATACTTTTTGAAAACAAAGAAAACTTCATATTTCCTAGAAAGTTCCCAGATACTTTTTTACAAGATTTTAATTTTAAAAAAGGAAATAATAATAATAATAAACACTGCAAGTTTATGTGAAACGAAATGTCAAACCGAAAACTTATGAATCATAAAACTATATACTGTATTAAATACTTAAATATTGTATACTTAAATGATCATAAAACTACGTACTGTATTAAATACTTCAATATTATGTACTTAAATGATCATAAAACTATAGACATGTACCACTCAACTCCATAACCAAATCTCTAGGCAAGAGAAACTGTTTTGTGGATATTAAAGCGCGTTAGCAAAATCTTCACTATAAATCCAATTAAAAAAAAAACTTGAAATTCCTCACGGAAAAAATAAAAAATATATTGTTAACCCCGCTTAAGGGAATATCATTAGTTTCAGTCTACTTTATTCAAATAAGTGGTTATAATTTTTTTGTTGTTGTTGTTAAAATTTTACTTTGAAATGGTATGTTATAATATTTGAGGAGATAAACTATTTTAACGGTTAATAATTAATTATATTTAGCTACTAGTGTAAGTATCCTAAATATAAATGTCATTTACATTTATAAAAAAAAATTATCAATTGCTAATAAAAAGTATTACACATACGTACTGTAGTAAAAGTATTACACTGATAAAACAAAATTAGTTTTTGAAAAAAAAATTTTTTTTGCGATATATGAAGCTTATTATACGAAGATACTAATTATACAAAGGAAATTTAACATCGGTTTCGTATAAAATAAGTTCGTTCCATTAAATTTTATTCATATAAGCGAGTTAGATGTCGATTCTGCGATAGGGACAGTACAAACATTACATTAGTTTCATTAGCATATTTTTGAACTTTTTCCTCCCCCTTGTCAGCAAAAGTTAGCAAATCACAAACCTCTTTCCATGTTTACATAAGAAAATTGCAACCACCCTTAATTTTCTTTCTTTAACTTTGACTGTAGTAATCTAGTTTTAAGATTAAATTCAAATAAAAAATGTTACTTAGCATAAAGCAAAGTTTACGTTTACTTTATTTCACAAAATTTTGAGTAAAATATTTTAAGAATCTTTTAAGTTCAAAGCTGTAGGTCTCTGAAACTTCAAAAAAAATTTTCTCTTTTCTTCTTCTAATTTCTTCTTTCCCCAAATTCAACTTCCATTCCAGATTTGTAATTTTACCAGCAAAAATAAGATGTTTTTTTTTTAAATAAGATGATTGGCTTACGTGATACTTCTCCTCCTTTTAAGCAAGAATAAGCAAATCATCGACCATTACCCTTTGTTAGATTCTTACGTAATATTTCAATGAGCCCATTATGTAATTAAGTGGGGACGATAATATTGTATCTCCATTTTCATTTTTGCATTTAGTCAGAACTAGGGCAATATGATTTGAGTCACGATTTCAAATTTTTTCTTTAAATTAAAGTCAATAAAATTATCTACTGTGAGGATATAATTCCGTAGCAGATATTTCTGACTTTTTTTTTGACACTTTTATTATTTTAGTCATAAAATACATCGAATTGAAAAAAAAAATGCTGTTGGATTAAAGTGTATAATAGCGTAATTTAAAATTAAAAAGGAGAAGGTGAAATACAAGACATCCGCGTTTTAAAAATTAAAAAAAAATATATGGGTGAGGCTATAATTTCTTAGACCAAGCCGAGGCTAGGTCCATGTTTCCAAATTGTTTAATTAAAATTTGAGCGTTATGGGCGAAAAACACCACAATTTCTACGAGAGCACTAAGGTATTTCTGTATAAAGTTTATCTTGTGAAGATTCTGGCCGATACATATCTGGAAATAATACCAATGAACTCTCTCATCTTTGGAGGAAAAACACTTTATCATCCCAAATGTAACACATACTTATTTTTATATGAATATATAAGCGTAGCATAGTGTATTTAAAAGACAGGGAATTGTGTGCCTGGCACTTAAAAGACTTCTACATAAAAAATAGTAAAAAAAAAAACCTTTTTTTTTCATTCCTTGAAGTATTTATTTCAGAAAACGTCTTCACCAATTTCATGCTTGGTCGAAATTTTAATGAACAACTTATTCCTTAAGTGTCACTTTTTTCTCATCACTCCCCCCATATCGAACAAAAGAATACCAAGAACTACCAAACTTATCACCCACTTTCCAGTTTCTTCTTAATCCCATGGACATTTGCAGATCCCCTTTCCCCCGTATATTCTTCTATAGTTCCTCTGCAGATATGGGGTAGGGGATTTTTATGAAGGTAACCACATCCAGGGGGTCTGAGACAGGTAAACCAATGAATATTGCCCATAAAGAAGCAAATAAAGAAAAATGGTGTCCGCCCCACCACGCTGACACCCCTCCTGTCATTTACCTATTGTTGCTACGAAACGCACTGCTTGCAACAGCCCCATCATTTCCCCTCCCCTCACGGTAGGAGTTTTTATTATTGAAGAGTCGGCTGAGCAACAAGCTGCCTGATAGCGAAACACCCGCGGGCAGGGTCAACTTTACCAACTTCCTGTCTCAACCAGCTTTTTTTACAAAGAGAGCCAACCGTAAGCTCTGTTTGCGCTCATAGTAGTCCCTGTAGTTGTGGGAAAAATAGAACTGGCCGGACAGGCTGGCGTTTTTTGGCTCTCTTTTCCTTTGCCCGAGCGCCGATTGTTGTGTTTTCATCATCAGTCACTCTCTTCACTCCAATTCATGCTCTGCACGGCTTCATGATCAGTCGCTTGTTCGAAATCGTCTGCTCTTTTGTGTGTGGCCCTTTTTTGGAAATAAGTTGATTTTATTTTTTATCTGTTGTGGATTTTCCAAGTAGTTTGCTAATTTAAAAGAGGAATTTTTTAGTATCTTTTATCGTCTGATTTTCTGTTGAATTATCTTCCCTGGATCTTTTCATTTGAGTTTGGTAAGTATATTATTCTTTTATTTTAAATTCTATTAGTACGGTATTTATTAACTAATATTTCACAGATTTCATTTACTAGTTCAACTTGTAAAATTTATTTAAAATCCAAATTTAAAACAGGCGTCAATAAAATATCTTGGATTATTATTAAATATTAGTACCTTTGCTACAGTTGTATTAACCACTCGATTCGACAAGAGTAAACAGAAAAACTTGAATAAAGTATGACATTCCGTTACAAAAATTTTCAGCTAAGAATTATTTTATTTTAACGACCCTAAGTCACAAGTTTTATATATTAATTCTTTGTATTTATAAAAAATGTCAATTTGCATTGTTTAAAGATGAAAAGTTTAGTCTTTAAAATTGAGAACTCAATCTGATTTATTTTGCTATTATTTAAATATGAATTTCCTTTTTGGGATTAATGCATTGATGCAGATTATTAGTTATGAAATAATGAATTTGATTTTAGTATTAATTAGAAATATACTCCAAATCAACTCGATATTTCTTCATCATTTATACAGATAATATTTTCGTATGTTGTTAGAGTAAAAATTATTCCATTTTTCGCACAACTGAAATTAAATGTCTACTCGTCGAAGAATAAACAGGATTAAGGGGAAATTATAACAATATGTGAATAACTTTCGTTCTGGTGATCGGATTTTCATGTACCAGGAGACTATCTTAATGAAAGGGTATGCTTATTATTTAGGTATACTAATTATTACCTATATCTTTAGGTATACCTATTAATCATCAGGTATGCTAATTATTTAATACTAACTATTAAGCTGCAGAATCAGACACAAAATTACACTTTCTCTAAATATATGTATTTATTTATTTTTTTGACGGGTTCGTATTCTTGTTTATCAGAATATAGGGGATAGCCGCAATCTGTAAAATATAGTCTTAATATTGATTTAACTTTTTGCGATATCTTAGAAACTCTAAAGGACTTCAAAAATTTTGCACACAGATATAAAATTCGTTTCCATGTAAAAAATATTTTTATCTATCATTTATCTATTTTTCTATCATTACTTTATTTAATAGTTTCAAAAAAATTACTTGTGGGATCATACACAGATTTTTACATGACAAAAGGCAAAATGTAAATGAAATCGGTGAAAAAATTTTTCAGAGATGAAAATTTAAAAAATAAAATACTCTGAGTCAATTAGACAGATTTTTTTTTTAAACAATTTTTATTTTAACATTTAAAATAATGTCTGCACTTATGTATACCTTACAATTGAATATGTTTATGATCATTCTTAAATTAGATGATCTATAAGTTATAAAGAATTATCATATTTCATGGAAATATTTTTAAATAATTAAATGTTATTAATTGTGTATAAGAAGTTTTTTGATTTTTTTGAAAAAGATGATTTTTGATTTTTTTGAAGAAAAAAAAGCACTAAGGGTCCCTAACTGTAGACCATTCTCTTAGCTGTAGGACCACATTTTCTACATTGCATCCAAGATCTGCAGAAATAAAGACATGTGTCTTGAGATATAGCACGTTTTTTTTTGTGATTTGATTAATTGTTAATATTAATTACTTAGCATGTTTTAGATCAACTCATCGAACCATTTGAATTAGTTTTTAATACGTAAAAATCAGACTGTTAGAACGAAATATATTCAAGATTATATTTTTTAGGTACTTTATCTCTTTTGGCATGGTCATACATTTTATTTTATTTATTTATTTTATGTTTGAATTAATACATGCACAAAGAAGTGCATGTATTTATTTGTATCTAGACACATGAGTGCGCTTGAAGTGAAACATGGTATACATTGCTTCCCGTTATTTTTCACTAATTCCCATGAAAAATAAAGGTAATGTAGTTTGGATATCTGTTTATTTTATGGTTTCAAAATAATAACCTTATTATTATCATTACAATAACCTTATATTTTCATAATAACATGATATTTTTTCATTATAATAACCTTGTTATACCTTAACTTCAAAATAATGTCACAGTAAAAATTATTATATGGTGTTATTTGTTATATAGGTTTAAAAAATATCTTCCGCATAACGACTTTTTAACTCGAACTTAATATTTTTAGTTGAACAATGGGAAATTTAGCTAAATTTATTTAAAACAAGAATTCTTTTATCAGCAACTTACTTTTAGTGAGAACTGTTCGTATACAGATATTTGTGTGTGAATACCTGGAGACTAATTATTACTTTAATTTCTACCAATGTCAATTTATATTAAAAAAGCAGCAGTAGTCATCAAAGTAAGGAAGAGAAAGGGCCGTAAGATCGTAAATTAAATTTTATTGTTTCAAACTCAAGAAATTGTTGTTTATTATTGATCGCGAGGAAAGCTCATATTTATGTATATTTCGCATCGATGCCTTCTAAATTAATCACTCTTCGAAATAATGCCTTAACTAAGGAGAAATGTAGGTTTTTTGAGACTAAGTTTTTACAATTGTTAAATTTTTTTTTAATTGATGCTCTACACTTTGATGTTCAAGTTCAGGTTTGTCTGAAAATGATAGTTGAAAGTAAATGTTAATGGCAGTTTTAAATAATACTAAAATTAAATTTTTTATCGTTACTAAAGAAAATTTAGAGATTAAGATTAGCATTCAGAAGCTTATATCTTAAGCTCCAAAAGTGATGATCCAATCCTACTACTATCAAAAAACAGTATAAATTTTCGTTTTAGATTTTTTTTTTAAAAAGTAATTACTATTTGATGTGTGTACAGTGGAAAGCGAATCAGTAAATGATATAATTTGATACCTAAATTGTTAGGGATATGTTTAAATAATCCTAGTTGTCGAACTTTTGCTCATGTTTTGATTCTACGGAGTTAATTCTTTCAAAATAAACTGCGCGTTGTTTTGAAGGCTGCGGAATACGCGGAAAACGAAGGAAAGGAGGCTAATCTTTTACGATGTGAAAGGGTGTTTGCGTAATCTTGCGATGCACTTGAACTGGTATAAAATGTCAAATCCGTTAGACGGAATACCCCATTTGATGCTGACCGAAATAAACAACGCCCAGGAAACCAGTTTAATAAACGATTTGTTACTACTCTTCGCAACTTTTCTGAGATCTTAATTGAAAAAGACCTGCCTTCCACACGAATTTTCTTCTTTCTTTCTTTTAAGTGATATCCATGTCGGTTGTGAGACAGTTTTAAAAGGGCGTAATCGGTAAGAATTAGAGGGCAATCAATCGAATAAAAATAGAGAGAAAAAAGTATCCCCACTTTCATTTCTGTTAAGTTTAAAGGTCCAAAGGGGCAATACTTCGGATAAATATTTTTTTGCGATGTATATTTTTGCATCCATCAGTAGTAACCTCTGTATTAACCTGCATTACTACGAATTTTTCTTTCTTTCTTATAATCGGCATTGAGCAGCCGACACAGTAATTAGTTTACGATTATTAATGTTCAACTTCACAGCCTTCAATTCTGGAACCCAATTTAAAACACTAAGGAATTCCTGGATTGAAGTCAACTACTCTTAGAATTACTAAAGATTGAAGAACAACTATTCTTTGAGGAGGACTTTTTGATATAACTAACCCGCTTTTGCGATGGAGGGGAAATCCACGAAAACCTTCCCCTGTTAGCCTGACGACCAGGGAATTCTAACCCATGATCCGTCTACCACTGAGGAATTTTTATGTCAGCACTGTGGTCGTTGCGAAACGGGAGCAGAATTCGTAGCAACCAGCCACCACTGGGATTCGATCCTGGGTCATTGGGAAGCCGCGGCTCATCTGAAAATATTTTAAGATTTATCTACAGATTGTGTGTTCAGATACTTGCATTTACTAATTTCTGCAGCGGTGCTTCAGTGATTCTGCTTTCTGGGTTTTTCTACGTTCGAGGCAAAAGGCAGTATGCCAATTTCTACAAAATAAAGATTTTTACAGTTTCCTAAATGCAATTTTTGTTCTTCTTCATTAGCATAGGTATAAAGCGCAGTATAGCAATAAAAGTGGTATTAAACGTGTAAACAACTGTTTCTCTTGAAAAAATAACAATCGTGACATGATGACTTTTACCTTTAATCAAAATTCTCTATTCGGTGAAATTTTTTCCAATTGTAATTAAAGTTTTCACAGTTCATGCAAATCGCGTATAGTTTTATTTATATTTTTGTTCCTAATAAACTTTAATGAATACTTTTTTTTTTTAAGAAAAAAAGAGATTATATTATTTTTATCATTATTTATTTAAAAGTATCGGTGTTGCTACTGGTTTATGTTGTTTGAAAAAGCAGCAATTCTTTTTTTAAAAACTATTGTATTTTATAGTCATAATGCATTGAAGTATATGAAAATGCGGATTACGAATTTTCCTTTTTTTTATTACTGAATTTTGTTATATAGTGGTTTTTAAATTATTGACGGACTTAAGTTTATGCTTCAAAATTAAATTTTATTTACAATTTATATATTTAAATTGTTTATCAGTGTTCTTGTTTCAGAGGAGCAGCTTGAGCCTATATTTAACCTATATTAGTAGCCTATTATTGACTACTGATTTTAATGAAATTTTTTTATTAAACCTCATTATACTTCATTAACCCTTTGTGGTCATATTTTGTTGTTAAAAATTGAAAATCGATGGTAGAAATATGGTTGATATGCAACCAAAAAGGGTTAAAATTGTTTCAAAGGAATGATTTAGAGTTAAAATAATAAGTTTTCATTTCATTAATTAAAAATATCAATTCATCTTAATATATATATATTTCTCTTACACGGCTACAAAAAAGTTCTCATTTTTTTCACATTGGCAGCAAAGAAGTGAAATATCAAGCGTGTGAGCTGTCATAAGCATGAAAGCATAAACGTACGTGCTTGCAAATTTTTGAATGAAATTCTTTTCTAGCATGGACAGTAAAAAGCAAGCATAATTTTTCATTTGTTTCTGAAAATTTTTAATCATCTTATTTATTACAATTTTAAAAATTTTATTGTAAAATAAAACTAA